TAGATGTTGAATTGCTTTTTTGAGAAATTTGACCAACCATGTATATTTGTGGAAAGCGAAGTCAAGTAGCTGTGGAAAAATTTTATGAGAAACAAAAGGATCTCGTTGAAGCCTGGAAAGAAGATGAAAAACATTTGCACAACGCTAGTTCTATTGATCAGGTGGCAGCAGCAGAAAGCGAACAGCGAACGAAGGTAAGAGCAGCCATTGACAACTGTGTGGTAACCTCTACAAAACTCAAGAAGCAAGTTATCACTGAAATTGCAATGGAGGCGGTAAGGGAGGGGGAGGTAGCCTTAGGATACACCGCTAGGCATTGCTGACATTCTCGTGACTGTGGAGGCAGTGATGGACTGCTATCATTTTTCCGAAAACGTCTGAAAAATGTTTTACCTCTGTGTATCCTAACTGTTTCTCAGCGTGACTTTGAAGAAATCTATATGTATGGTGTGCAGGGTTTGTCATTAATTGGGAATTTTTGTCGAGATCGCACCCCCCGCCCCTCCTTCCCCATCCTACCACTCTTCCTTTCTTTCGACTTCTATAAGATTTTCTGTCGAGCTGAGGAGAGGGGAGGGGGGGGGCAAATGAGTGCTCCCAACAACGAGCATAATACGGCTCCCTCCCTCTATAGCGCTCTGAAACAAGAAAAATCAGCCATAAAGGGAATTATTTCTCAGACCAAATACGACCTCCCCCCTTCCCCCAGCGACCGAACAAATGCGATGCCTCCTCCACCTGTTGGGTGATCCCCAACGATGATGTGCCCTGATGGTTTGGGCCACTTACCATTCGAGCTCTTCTACCATCGTGAACGACACCACAGCGTAACTGAATCTATCAATCGACGTTCAAGTTTATTTGTGATGAAATTCCCAAAAATCATGCAGAAACGCAGGATTCTAGGTATGGGACTCTCGACTAACCATCATAACAATTATACTGAATGTGATGCTTATTGGTGCAAAGACAACAGCTGCTGTTCTTTCCGATTCGTTGGCCATTGTTGCTTCAGTTGTCGACAGGTATGTGTTTTGGGACTATCTTAACTCTGTACAGCGGCTAAATAGGACCCAGGAGTGCAAAACACACAAACCGTATAGACGAAGTATGCTCTATTTCACCACGGACGAAGAGGCGTGTCATGCATTATGACTGTGAAACGGCGAAGGACGTGTTTTCTGCCAGAGTTGTTGAAACGGGTACGCGACAGCAACTAGTAGAGAACGAGTGATACGAAAGACATGATGCACTGTTGTCACTTGCTGTCGAAAGCTGGTGGAAAACGGATTTGGCACTGCGCCAACTATTAGGTTGGCCGATAAGTAATGGCCGTTTTTTTCAATTGAAAAATTTGTTCCAAAAGTGAACTGTTTTGCAAGCAAGCTTAATATCGTTTAATAGCAAACTTCTCGTAGTATTAGAATATCAAAACAGCTTCGGTTGAGGGAAGAGTTTTTGTGGATTTTTCAGTCGTTGAAGTTGAAAGTGAAGTCGGCGAAAATTAGCACCTTCGACAACTGCTAATTTCGCCGACTTCACTTTCAACTTCAACGACTGAAAAATCCACAAAAACTCTTCCCTCAACCGAAGCTGTTTTGATATTCTAATACTACGAGAAGTTTGCTATTAAACGATATTAAGCTTGCTTGCAAAACAGTTCACCTTTAGGAACAAATTTTTCGATTGAAAAAAACGGCCATTACTTATCGGCCAACCTAATACATTCCGCCTGGCAGGCTCTTTCGTCTGCAGCGGACTGGTTTGTATAGATCTCACTCGGAGACTTGAAAATGGCACTCGAGAGGAATTATTTGGCAGACCTAGCGATCACGAAATTCGCTTCGTTGGCGTTTTTTATTACGCTCTGCTACACAAGAGCTCTTTTTTCTGAAGTGAAGTCGGATCTGATTTCGTATACCAGTAAAAAACAGTGAACGGTGAAACTTTTTTCTCTGATGTTCATAGTATTAGAGCCGGCTGAACCCATCAGCAGACGATGAAGCACGCATCGCGGGGTTTAAACATAGGCTAATGCCGTTTGGACTCCAGAAATTTCGGCACCGAGCCCATTTTTAAATTGCCTAAGTCACCAAATCCGCTAAAAACTTGTATATAGGGGTAGTTTAACATCCTGATTACGAATATGACATTCACTCTTGTCGCTGGCGCCAAGAGAGGACACTACGATTACCTCCTGGGCTCAGCCTTAGCAGAGCGCAGATAATCGTAGTGTCATCCATTAGCGCCAGCGACAATGAATGTCATTCGTAATCAGGATGTTAAACTACCCCTATATACAAGTTTTTAGCGGATTTGGTGACTTAGGCAATTTAAAAATGAGCTCGGTGCCGAAATTTCTGGAGTCCAAACGGCATTAGCCTTAACAAAGGGGCGCAGCCAGGGCGGCATGCTCCGCCCAGTGATGCCGTTCTGAGCCTGTTACTGTTGGGAACTCTTCCCTGGTTGCGCTCCAAGGCACGCTGCGTCACACGCCCTTTCGTGTGCAGGGATCATGGCTACACTACTCACAAGGGAATGGTTTCAACTTCCCATGGAACTTTGAATGGAGACCTAGGTACATCGATAGAGCTCGAATGCTGATTACGAATATGCAGATTAAAAGTGCTACGGGGACCTCCCAGACGAGATCTGGGTGGTCAAAGTTTGCGAAAAGTTTTTGGCTCGTAAGCGCTGCTGATCGATGCTCGGCAGTGCCACCGTGGCCTAGTGGTAACGGTCTCGCTTGAAAGTCAAATGCCTGTTGGTTTGGCGCGAAGAGTTTTGCTTCGCCTCCTATAAGAGCTTTTACTCTAATTTTCAAAACTCTTCCGAGTTTACGGCTCAGCAGAGCAAGTAGATCAAGTAGATCAAGTATATATAGTATACTCGATCTAGTATGGATTTGGTCACTATCTGCCCTCTCTGAAAATATTACCCATCCGACTATTCAGAATTTTGGCGAAAAACTCGTTCATGGGAGATTCTGACCTCCTGAACACGAATATCACATCCTTTGACGAGAAAACGCTTGTATGGCCAATTGTGATTCTGGGCAAAACTTCGAACGGTCGGATGGGTAATAAGTTCAGAGAGGGCAGATAGTGACCAAATCCATACTAGATCGAGTACGTCATATACTTGATCTACTTGATCTACTTGCCCTGCTGGGCCGGAGGAATTTCAAAAATTAGAGTAAAAGCTTCTATAGGAGGCGAAGCAAAAATTTTCGCGCCAACGGGATGCAAACCCACGAGCATTTGGCTTTGAAACGAGACCGTTACCACTAGGCGCGGTGGCACTGCACGGCTATCGATCAGCAGCGCTTACGAGCCAAAACTGAGTTTTCGCAAACTTTGACCGCCCCCAGATCTCGTCTGGGAGGTCCCGTAGCACTTTTAACATATTCGTAATCAGCATTCGAGGCTCTATCGATGTACCTAGGTCTCCATTCAAAGTTCCATGGGAAGTTCAAACCATTCCCTTGTAGGCGACGCCTTACGATTGACGACAAAAGCGGCACAACCTCTGTAACGAACTTTCGCGTATGGAAGCTGAATTCTAAGGACTGAAAAAAAACCAACTTTCCTCATAGAGTCAGAGCTTGATGTTAACTTCAGTACTTTCTAATTATCAGACAACTTATGTGGAACTCTGCTGACGGAGAAGTCATGATTCTCTAATAGAGACTTGAAGACTTGATGGGCCCTTCCGTGTATTACGCCCCTTATACCTGATACGGTGTAGCCGTGGCATGTGAACTCAGCGTAGAATGGGTTACTTTGAGGGGTACTTTGGGTATTTCGACTTGTCCCTTGGGATTAGAGACAACTGACATCTTGTTTTGTGTTAAACAGAAACATGTGAATAATTATTTCAAAATGAAAGTATCTCTTCGAAAGCCAGCCCACTACGTTTAGTTGAAGTACGCAATTACGCCTACCGCATCTCAGGAATTTTGAGTGTGTTGACGGTGGCTGCCTTGAGCACAATATTAATACCGCACTTCGCCATCGGTTGCCTCTGATCGACCGCTTTGAAGGCCCTTTTTTTTGAGAGCCATTCTTGTGAGCCCTTACTCACAAAAAAAACTTTTGCGCCACGAAATACGTCCACATTATTATTGCAGTGCCATGGACATCACATCCGGATTGGTCTTATGGTATACGTGTCGGCTGATCGAGAGATCAAACAAGCATCACTATCCTGTCGGATTGAATAGGTGAGGCTCAATGTTTAGCACCTCAAAATAACTAAGGTACTACGTGCTGCTGCACGACGCAATCAGTCACGATTAGACTTGAGATTAGACAATCTTTTCCCCTGGCAGGCTTATCGCCTATATACCTCAGCATCCTAAGTAGTTTTCTCTTCATTCTCAGATGTTTGCAAAGATAGTTCGCATTAACACTTACTATCAGTCTTCTCTTTGATTCATAAATGAAACTCTTCCAAGTCGTTTATCTCTTGACTACGTTTCGGGCCTTAAGCCCTTCTTCAGGTCTACAAAACATCATATATGTTCACATAGCCTACACCAACATCAATCCACTATTAGACATACACGCAGAATATTCGAAGAGGAAAACAATCATTTAACAACTGACAGACTTCCTACGGGAAGGAGGGCCTGGGCTGGAGTGGGTCCGGGATGGAGTGGGTCGGCATTGCTGCAAGGTGGTTCAATGACCGACGAAAGCCAGGCATAACTTACCTCTCCAGCTGTCCTTTCCAGTAGAAATGAGACAGCTAGTTTGGCGAAGCAGTGGTAAGATGGTAATAGTTGATACCCTGCTATTTGTCATATGTCACGTATCACCAGTGATGTCACATCATGGTGCAGCAATGATCTCCATTGTCCTTCTTAGCTCCTCCCTGTTGTTGATCGGTGGATTCCTTCTTCGAATTTCCACGCTTCCTTTATTTTCCTCTCCACCGGGTCACATATGTTCCTGTGGATGCGCACCTTGAGTTCAGGCGCACGTTCGTTCGTGTGGCGCGAGGAACGATGTCTCAAGAATTGAAGGTGCGCGTAATCCACAGGAACGTATGTGATTAGGTGGAGAGGAAGACAAAGGAAGCGCTAGAAATTCGAAGAAGGAATCCACCGATCAACAACAGGGAGGAGCTAAGAAGGACAATGGAAATCTGCTGCATCATGATTTGACATCACTGGTGATACGTGACATATGACAAATAGCAGAGTGTCAACTACTACCATCGCCAATCCATCCAACAGTCTCATTTCTACTGGAAAGGACAGCTGGAGAGGTAAGCAATGTCGCTATCCCTGGTTTTCGTCCATCATTGAACCACCTTGCAGCAATCCCGACCCACTCCATCCCGGACCCGCTCCAGCCCAGGCCCTCCTTCCCGTAGGAAGTCGGTCAGTTGTTGAATGATTGTTTCCTCTTCGAATATTCTGCGATGTATGCCTAATAGTGGACTGATGTTGGTGTAGGCTATGTGAACATATATGATGTTTTGTAGACCTGAAGAAGGGCTTAAGGCCCGAAACGTAGTCAAGAGATAAACGACTTGGAAGAGTTTCATTTATGAATCAAACAGAAGACTTGCAATACAACAAGCTCAAAAATCCTTTGATATTACTTATAACTAGTGTAGACAAAAAACTTATATTACTTTTATACTCAGTGCTCCACATCCGTTTGCGTGAACAGAAAAAGGTGAGACACGGGACCAGCTTGGCAACTGCTGAGCTGTCTGCTCTCCATCGACAACGTTGCCCCTGATGTTGTCTTCTGCCATGGATGCAGTTCACCTCAACCGTACCCCAAATATGGTGGCGAAAGGCGCGTTGCGAATGCTGTCACATGCGCGGAATTTCCAGCAGTTCCTCAGGGATTCATCGTGACAATGCTGCAATGTGTTGACTCACCTAGCTGTGTAAAACTGCATCCTCCCCAGCGAATTGGGCCCTACTCCGATGTTCCGACCTACACTCGCTTAGGGAGCGGTTTCCATCTTTGTTGCTCACTTTCTACCTCAATTGCAACTGCGTGAACTGTAGCGGTTCCTGCAAATTCGGTAGCAGGGAAGCAGGGTTCCAACAGAGAAAGCGGAGCTCCCAAGTTTCGAGAGCACCCTGACGAAACTTATGGTGGCAATGTACTTGACTCCCGATAGGCAGAAACCTCGGTTGGCAGGAGCCGATGTGGGATTTGACCCACGGCGCGCTCATGGTAAGCGTGCGACTTAGACCACCGCGTCATTGTTAGACATACTTTACTATCAGCAAACAGGATCATGAATCATCGGCAACGCCTTGGGTACATCGGCAACGCCTTCAATAAGGCCCCTCAAGCCTCAAACAGCGTACGTTTGACAGGCGAAAAGACCGCCTGTTGGGACCAGACGGCTGATTCGTTGCGGTGAACCCTATAACCCCATAGTAGACAAAAAAGCTTCCATTTAACTTTACCTGTTCGGCAGCATCGCATTTCACTGGAAGGCGAAGCCTCTGAAAAACGGAGGTGCCTTTGGAGCAACTTTGAGTCTCAACTCCTTCATCTTACAAGCTTATGCCGCGAAACTGGCACAAAAGGGGTCTACGGGCTTTTGTCAACCGCGGCAATGGGTGACTCAGCAATTTGTCGCGTCGTCGGTCGTCTCGCACACTCTCGTCGACGCTGCGTCTCCGCTTAGAGCGTAGACAGAGGGGCATCCACCGATCCCGATTGCCGACGATCACCAGTTCACGTGATTGTTGCGTGCTTTGCTCGTGTTTGGTCACTCTCCGATGCTAATGATTCGTTAAAAAAATAGGAAATCAAGAAGATCTTAACTATAAGAAGGAACTCAGTCCTTCTCGCTTCTTACTTCAAGTATTATTCTTGAAGTGGAATTGGTGTTTGCTGAAAAATAATTGGAGGAATCACCAACCATTACCATGCCATTCATCTTTAACCGTTTACAGATCCAATAGCAACGGAAAAGCAGCGCATTTGTTCTCTCGTTCAAGAAGCTGGGAGGGAATGAAAGGGGGTGGTGATCTATTGACCAAGAGTTTTGTTCTGCCATGCGATTCATAACACTGCATTTATCAGAGAACTTTTATAACCAGTATAAGTTGCGGCATAGATCATGCGGACATATGCGAATACCGAACATATTCCTCAAAAGGGAGCACCAAGTGGGAAGGATGAGCGAGTACAAGAAAAAAAACAATAAGTGGATATTTTTACAGTGTAATAGTACGGATACATGCTACTAAACATAGAATAAATAGTGAGAGAAATGGGCAAGTATGAGATCCTACATGTTACACTAAGGGGCAAGTAAGAGTTCAACAATAAGTGGGATTAGTTACAACTAATGAGCCAGTCTCTAGCCAGGAAATCTAACTAGGGAAGGTCGTCAGGTCGAAGTGGCCATTTGTAATGAGATGTAGCTCACTAGACGTGGTTTTGGACGCTGATCTCGAATCTGCCTTCGAAATTTGCAAAGCGATTCTCTGAACGGAATTATGAAGGTTTGTTAGAATTAAATGAAGGAAAACGGAGTCGAGCGCGGTTGCCAGCCATCGCATGAATAGCCGGGAAGCACCATCACGTTCAACGGCGGCATGGTGTAGTGGTAATGGTCTTGCTTCGCGGGCATGCTATGAAGGGTTCGGATTTCTGGAAGGGAACTTGTTTTGCATTTTGTGGGGAATGTCTCTTTTAAGTCTAGAAAACACTCAAACGTCAAATGGGGGCCATATTTCGTGTTTTAGGGAGCAAAACTACCCCTGGAAACACGTTCCTAAGCATTTGCCCTAACTTTGAAAAGTGAGGCAGCAGTTGATCGGATGATGGTCACCAATAGTTCCAGGGCCAGTCTCTCGTCGATTGCTTGTCTTTGGACGGAATTCGCTTCTAGATATCAAGAAACTGGAGCTGTAATGAAATGAACGCGTAAGAAGTGGCGAGACATGGCTCTGTGCAGGAGAATGTATCTGCAGCTGAATAGGTGTGAACATCAACTGAACTAACCCATGGATGCTTCACTTTTCGAAGTCAGGTCAAAATGCCAGATTTGGCTAGAAACCTCTACCTAGGCGTAGTTCGCCCCCATAAATACGAATATGGCACTCGCTCAGCGCGAAAACGCCTGCACTGCGCGCCAAGGGCACCTGTACATCCAAAAATTCTCCTAGATCATGAAGCAACAGCGGCATCGTGTAGTGGTAGTGGTCTAAGCGCGCCACTAAGTGAACGCAGACTACTTTTCACGCAACCCAAGGAGGGCGCTAATAAAGTAGTGACGCCACAACCACTTTTTGCCACGTTTGCACAAGAAGCAAAAAAGTTAAGCTCAGCAGGGATCCGATCCCACGACCTGTTGACAACCGCAGTAAAAAAGCTCCACAACTCCGTTCAGAGAATCGCTTTGCAAATTTCGAAGGCAGATTCGAGATCAGCGTCCAAAACCACGTCTAGTGAGCTACATCTCATTACAAATGGCCACTTCGACCTGACGACCTTCCCTAGTAAGAAATCTTTGCAATCTCTCGTGGTGGGAGGGACCCCACGAGAAATGTGGGTTTCACTGAATCTTCGAAGTTCAGCAGTGATTTCTTGTTGTCGTTGCTGCTCCTGTGGCCTGACGTAAAGCACGCGAGCTCCTTCTTCTGCTGGTGCAATGAGCGACTTTCCATTGGCCAGCTGGCTGTGAATAAACAAGAGCATTTGTCTGAGAGTTGGGATACCCCTTGGGAATGCCACCCGCTATCTTTGTGTGGGAACCTTCTGCCACGTTGGCTTTTCCGTATTCCGAAGTTGAGTGAGTGGTCCCACAAAACGGAGAATCGCCCTCCCGCTTCCCAGTTGTCATGCCAGTACCGTAAAAACTGGAGAAGCCCTGCGTGCTCCAAAGGCGTGATGACAGGAGGTTGTGGGACGACGAGGGCCTCTGATATCCTGAGGAATTGTGGGTGTAGTAGAGGCAGCGATTATAATACGGCGGTAAAGAAAGTCTCGATATTGGCGTTTCTTGCTGGCGCGCTTCTCAGAAACGCAGCACGTCTCGATGACGCGGATGGCTTGGGCGTAGTGGCAGCGAAGCACCTGAAATCTAATGGCAAAAAAGTTTATGAGTTGAACTTCCGCGATTATTGTGATCTTTACCCGTACCACTTCGACTGCGATCTGGCATTTCGATGGTCGCCGCATTTGAATTGCGGATTGTTCGGAGTCGACGACGTAGTAAGAAAGGTACACGTTGG